ACCAGTCCCAACGCCGGCACAGACACCAACATAGACCCCAGCATCGACGTCTGCAGCGACTCCCGCATCTACGTCAGCACCGACCACCGCACTGTGGAAAGGCTGCCCTCCCCTTCCTCCCACGGGCCCCACCAAACCAAGGGACGCCACGCCCGACCCACTCCCACACCGACGAGCACCACAACGACGACCAGGTCACGGGACTCTGCGAGCATGACGCTGCAAAGTCCATAGGCGTGAGCGGAATGGGCCAAGTCGACGACAAGGCTCTGTACGCCACCTTCAGCCTCTTCGGCTAGATCCACGCATGCAACGCCGTTTGGTGTCCGCACGGGCGCTCCCTGGGCTACGGCTTCGTGCAGTGCGAGATCGAGGAGGCGGCCACCAGAGCTACCCACTTCCACGAAGGCATTCCGATGGGTACGACCACGGCCCAGGTCACCGACTGGCACGGCGCCTCTCCCGACGCCTCTCCCGACGCCTTCACCCACACCCTCTCCGGCGCCCTTCCCAACGCCCTCCCCGACGCCACGAGGACACCATCGACTCCAGTATCGAAGACAGGAGCCTGCATCGACGTCCGCACCGACGCCAGCATCGACACCAGCATCGACGCCAGAACCGACGCCAGCATCGACTCCGATGTCGACGCGCGCATCGAGGACAGTGTCGACTCCAGCACCGGAACCCGCATCAACGCCGGCACCAACACCACCACCGACCCCGGTACCGACGCAAGCGTCATCGTCAATATCGAAACCCATATCGCCAGCACGAACAACAGCGTCGGTGCCAACATCGGAGACAACATTGACTACAACATAGGATTCAGCATCGACGCCGGCATCGACACCGTCATCGCTTCAAACACCGAAGCCAGCACTGATGCCAGCACCGACGTCAGCATCGACGCCAGCAACGACGCCAGCAACGGCACAAGCACAAAAGGCAGTAGTGACCCCGACACCGCAGGCAGTACCAGCGTCAGCACCGACTCGAGTACCGACCCCAGCATCAACGCCACTGACTCCAGCATCGACGCCAGCATCAACGCCAGCAGCGAAGACGGCAGTAACTCCAGCACCAGAGCCAGCAATTACATCATCACCAACGCCAGCATCGCCTCCAGTGTCGACGCCAGTATCCACGCCAGCATCGACTCCAGTATCGACGCCAGTATCCACGCCAGCCGCGACCCCAGCATCTACGCGACCAACGACGCCAGCATCGGCGCTAGCACTGAATACAGCGGTGACCCCAGTGCGGCAGCCAGCACCGACCCTAGCATCGCCCCAGGCACCGACACCAGCATCAACCCCAGCATCAGCGCCATCAACAAAGGCGGTCTGGACTCCAGCACTGGAGCCAGCACCTACGTCGTCACCAACACCAGCATCGACTCCAGCATCGACGCCACCACCAACGCCAGCATCGACCCCCGCATCGACGCTAGCATCGAAGACAGCACTCACTTCAGCATCCACCGCATCCCACCACAGCGTCTTGACAAATGGGATCCCCCTGGCTCTTCCCAAGGCGATGTGGGCATGCGACCAGCAGCGATGTCCTCACCGACACCAGCACTGGCTCCAGCAGCAAAGCCACCACCGACGCCATCACCGACGCCGGCATCGACGCGCGCACCGCGGACAGTATCGAATCCAGCACCAGAACCCGCATCCACACCAGCATCCACGCTAGCGATCCTGGCAGCGAAGACAACATCGACGCCAGTCTCAACGTCAGCATCGAAACCGACACCGACGCTAGCATCCTCTAAAGTGCCGACCTCAACACTGGCGCCAGCATCCGCACCAGCATCGAGAACAGCATCGACCCCAGAATCGGTGCAAGCGCCGACGACAGCACCGACACAAGCACTGCCCCCAGCATCAACCCCAGCATCAACGCCAGTACCGACAACAGTATCGGAGACACCATCGACTACAGCATCGGCTTCAGCATCGACTCCAGCATCGATATCGGCATCGACTCTAGCACCGAATCCAGCATCGACGCCAGCACCGACGTCAGCATCGAAGCCCGCACCGACGCCAGCAACGGTACCAGCACCGAAATTGACAGTGACCCGAATAGCGCATCCAGCGTTAGCGTCAGCATCGGAACGAGCACCGAAGACCGTCGCGATCCCAGTACCACAGCCAGTATCCACGCCAGCATCGACACCAGTACTGACCACCCCAGCACCGACGCCAGCATCAACCTCAACATCAAAGCGATCATCGAAGATGGTACTGTCTCCAGCATCGGGGCCAGCACCTACGCCATCACAAACACCAGCATCTACTCCAGCATCGACGCCAACATGGCATCCGAGACTGGCACGACTGCTGACTCCCAGCGCTCCACACCGACGGATGAGCAGCAGCACCAGCAACAGGGGCCGCGGACAGCATCACCATGATGGCGCAACCACGCCGCCTCCCACCAGACGCCCCACCCAGCGACCAGCAGCAACACCACGTGCACTGCGACTCCGAACAGCAGCAGCGCCACGACTGCAACCAGCAGCACTGCCACCATAGCGGAGACCAGCACTACGTCAAGGTGAATGGCCTGGGCTGCGACCAGCAGCGCCGCAGCGTCTGATGCCCTGCCCACACCCTCGTCCCCTGGTCAGCGCGGCTCTCGGCTCCCAGGGAAGAGTACTAGGCCCAAGTGCCGACACACAGGTAGCTTCAACGGCCTCAGCGGTGACCCACTCGGCTGCGCGGCCTGCCTGGCAGCTGCCAGACCTCCGCCGCCCCAACCCACCACCCACAACTCCCAACGCCACCACACTGAGCGCTCAGGGCACGCCGACTTCCACATCGGCGCCTGCCTGCACCCGCGCGGCCCCGACGGGCTGGGACGACCACGCGTCCTCCTACTTGAGCAGGGACCGACCGTCCCAGCATTCCTGTAGTCCTACCACGAAATGTTCTTAGAACCCAAAAATGCTCCAAGAACAAAAACAGTGTTCTTAGAATATAAACCCGATGTGCCCCAACAAGACAGATTCCGCCAGAAGTGTTCTAAGAACATTACGTGGGAACCATACAAGATTATTAGCACATTGCTCGGTAGGGCTATGGGCGAGCCAGGACGCTTCGCCACTGCTGGACTTGTGTTGCTCCCATCCAACTTAAGGACCACATCCCAGAAATAATGTCGAGCACTCGAAAAAGTGTCAAAAGAGTGTCGAAACAGTGTCGAAACAGTGTCGGGCGAGTATCTCCCAGGGCCCGACACGCGAAAACCCTTGAGTTTCGGCACTTCTTTGGGCGCTCGAAACTCTTCCTGGTGATCGAGGCTAAAGTAGGTTCGAGCAACATAATGCTTGACCCACGGCCTCATCGCCGCCGCCCCCTCCAGGGCGAGCGTGCCGCCGTCCCAGAGGGGTAATTAGGGGACGGACGGCCCTGGGGGGGGGGACGATCGAGCTGGGTCCGCCGCGGCCCGCGGCTGCGGCTGCAGCGCCCCCAGGAGGAGGAGGAGGAGGAGGAGGAGGAGGACGAGGAGGAGGATCGAGGAGGAGGAGGGCGGACGAGGAGGAGGAGGGAGGAGGAGGAGAGGGAGAGAAGGGAGGAGGAGGGAAGAGGAGGGGGAGGAGGAGGAGGAGGAGGGGGAGGAGGAGGAGGAGGTGGAGGGGAGGGAGGAGGAGGGGAGGAGGAGGAGGGAGGAGGGGACGAGGAGGAGGAGGGGGGAGGAGGAGGGAGGAGGAGGGGGGAGGAGGAGGAGGAGGAGGTGGGAGGAGGAGGAGGAGGAGGAGGGGAGGAGGAGGAGGAGGAAGCGAGGTCGAGGGACGAGGAGGAGGAGGAGGAGTAGGAGGAGGAGGAGGAGGAGGGAGGAGGAGGAGGAGGGGGAGGAGGAGGAGGGGAGGATGGAGGAGGAGGAGGAGGAGGATGAGAGGAGGAGGGGAGGAGGAGGAGGAGGAAGGAGGAGGAGGAGGAAGGGGCGAGCGGAGGAGGAGGTAGGTAGGAGGAGGAGGAGGAGAGGAGGTGGAGGAGGAGGAGGAGGAGGAGGGGGTGGGGGAGGAAGGGGGAGGGGGAGGAGGAGGATCCGCGCCCCGCCAGCGGGCGCCGGCCTCGCCCGACGCGCTAGCAGGTGCTGCCGCGGGCGGGGCCCGTAGATTGATTACCCCGCCAGTAGCGACCGCTGCTGGGGGCGGGGAGGACGCGTTCGCTGAGCTCTGTGGCCATCAGGAAAGATGAGCCAGGAGGAGGAAGGGGAGGAGGAGGAGGAGGTAGAGGAGGAGGTGGGAGGAGGAGGAGGAGGAGGAGGAGGAGGAGGAGGAGGAGGAGGTAGAGGAGAAGAAGGAGGAGGAGGAAGAGGAGGAGAAGGAGCCGTCGTCGATCTGCATCAGTGTCCCTGTCCAGCTAACTAAAGCCGACTGCTCATGGACACCGCAGAGCCTAGACTGTCCAGGGGGCCTTTGAAACCAATGGGAACGCATGGCCAGGTGCCGCTGCCAGTGCGCGCACAGCGTTGGCAGTGGTACCTTGACGCGGGGGTAACTCAAAACTTGGTGCGTGATTCTTCCCGCAACCTAATGCGCCTGTGCAAGGCCTCGAGCCTTTCTTCCCAGGGTTTCGTGCTCAAGGAGCGGAGGAAGGACAAGGAGGGAACCGAGGACGAACGAGGGGGGACGAGGAGGGGATTAAAACCTGGTCTAAGCTACTTGCTGCTCTGCTGGAGGAGGAGGAGGAGGAGGAGTAGGAGGAGGAGAAGGAGGAGGAGGAGGAGGAGAAGGAGGAGGAGGAGGAGGAGGAGGAGGTGGGGGAGGAGGAGGAGGAGGAGGAGGAGGAGCAGAAGTGGAGGAGGAGGGTGGAGAAGAGGAGAAGGGAGGAGGAGGAGAAGGAGGAGGAAGGGAGGAGGAGGCGGAGGAGGAGGAGGAGAAGGAGGAGGAGGAGGAGGAGCAGGAAGAGGAGGAGGAAGAGAAGGAAAAGAAGACCTCGACCCCGAATCGGCATCACGCCTCCCCCTTGGCACCCTCCAGCATGACTCTCGCCTCCACGAAGCCCCCGGGGCACTCCGCCACCTCTGGAGGAGGCCTCCCAGGTTGGGTTTTCGAGTCGACGGGGTCGGAGAATCGCGCCGCATCGCCGATGCATCGGCGATGCGTCGGCGACGTCGGAGTGGAGAAAATCAGGCACGGCATCGAGCCGCATCGCCGGTGCATGGGCGCTCCGACCCCGTCTATTCGGACCCCGACTAGGGAGACCTGGATACGACATCCGAACCATACCCCCGCCGCCAATCGAGTTGCCTTAATCCAGAGGAAAGAAAAACTGCATGTGGATAAACTTTTGGAGGTCCGCGCGGATTTATTGGATCCGCGCTGGACCTCCCTCCCTGGCGCGCGGAGCGCGCCAGGGGCGGCGCTGGAGGCACCGACAGGGGGACTCAGGCGCCTGTCCGAGAAATCCGCGCGAGCTCTGACAGACCATGTTTATGCCGGCTTTTCCTCTTCGAGCTGCGGGTCGCATTTGCTGTCGCTGGGCGTGGGCGTTGCTTCACGGGAGGGGGCGATGCACTGGGGAGGGGGCCAGAAACGTACACCTTTCGCGCCCCTCCTGGGCCCCAGGGGGCCCCTTCAGGGCCCCTTGAGGGTACAAAAGGTGCACTGAAGGGGCCCAGAAGGGGCGCGTCGTCGTCGTCGTCGTCGTCGTCGTCGTCGTCGTCGTCGTCGTCGTCGTCGTCGTCGTCGTCGTCGTCGTCGTCGTCGTCGTCGTCGTCGTCGTCGTCGTCGGTCGTCGTCGTCGGTCGTCGTCGTCGTCGTCGTCGTCCGTCGTCGTCGTCGTAGTCGTCGTCGTCGTCGTCGTCGTCGTCGTCGTCGTCGTCGTCGTCGTCGTCGTCGTCGTCGTCGTCGTCGTCGTCGTCGTCGTCGTCGTCGTCGTCCGTCTCCTCGTCCTCTTCGGGGCGCAGACCCTTCTCCGCCCCCCATGTACGCAACGCCCGATGGGCGCCGCCGCCGCTGCCGGCACTCGGCGAGAGTAGGGTTCGGACTTCGCCGCCGACTGGCGCCTCGCTCGCCGCGCGCCCCGCCGGCGCCCCGCCGGGCGCCGGCGCGCTGCTGCACTGCGCCGGGCCGCGCCGCCCGCGCGGGGGGGCCCCCGCCGCTGACGGGCCTCCCGTGGGGCGCCGCAGCAGCGCCGCGCCCGCCACGGCGGCGGCATGCCCCGCGCGCGGCGCGGCGCCCGCCATGCGGCAGCGAGCGAGCGCCCGCGCGCGGCGGGCGCGCGGGCTGCGCGGCGGTCGGCTGCCAGGGCCAGCCCTGCGAGGGCAGCGCGGGTGAGGGGCAGCGTTGGTGCCGTGACGTCTCTCCCGCGTCGGTTTCTGGCACCGCGTGAGATCCGTCAGCCCTGGCCAGTCCGTCGCCTTTTCGATCGCCAGATCGTTCCACATTGGCCCCGAACGATCGTCGCCATTTCGAGCGCCGCGCCCGCCACGGCCAGGGACCAACCGTCCCGGCATTCGTATAGGTCTATACCACGCAATGTTCTTGGACCCCAAAAATGCTCGAAGAACACAAACCATGCTCTTAGTACATAAACCCGATGCGTCAGAACAAGACGGACTCAGCCAGAAACGTTCTGAGAGACATTCCGTGCCGACCACAACCAGCTCTCAGACCATTCCCTGGTGGGCCTCGAGGCAGGCCAGGGTGCTTCGCCACTGTTGGGCGCCCGAGTTATCCGGGGTAACTCGGGTCCGGGGTAACTCGGGTTCGGATTCCCGAAAAAGGAACCCGAGTTAGCCCTGACCCGAGTTACCCCCGATGATTCGGGGCTCTGACACTGCCTGACACCTCGCCCCCGCAACACGAGACCCCCGATGGGCGCCGCCGCCGCTGCCGCTGCCGCTGCGCCCGCCTCGGCCCGCGCGGCAAGGCGCCGCCGCCGTCCTTCGGACGCCGCGGCGGGCCGCGGCCGCCGGCCCTCCGCGCGCGCGCGCGGGCCCGCTGTGGCCTGCGGGCGGCGGTCGCCGCGGCGGGCTCCTCCACATCAACCTCCTGGTCCTCCACGTAGAGGCGGAGGGGGAGACCCCGGAGATCCGACGCTCCAAGAGAGAGGAGCGGCGGGCTTTTCGGCTGTGGTCGGCCTCCCAGGGGCCCTCGCCGGGCCTCGGGAGCGTCAAAAAAAACACTCTGGGCGACAAACTGGCCCTGGGGAAACGTTCTGGACCTGCGCGGCCCACGCATCGAAGAAATTGGAGCGGCCGGATGTCTGGGAAGGAGGGAGATGAGAAATGCTCCCCCGCCTCATCCTCTTCCTCCTCCGCCTGCTCCTTCTGTTGCTGTGCTCCCCCAGGTCATCCTCCAGCTCCTCATCCAAACCCCCCTCTCCGATTTCGCCGATCGTCCCTCTTCCTCCTCCTCTTCCTCCTCCAGCTCCTCCATCTCCTTCAACATCTAGAACTGACGCTGACACTGGCAGTCATAGCTGCCAGTCCGACCCGCGACTGTTGGCTCCAACTCCTCCTCTCCCACCTCTTCCTCGACCTTTACGTGGGGATTTGTTCTTGGTGAGGGCCATTTTGCATGTGTGTGTGGGGGGGGGAGTCAGATGCGACCGCCAGACGCGGCGCATCCTTCCAGAACCGCTTGCGATGCTGGTCGCTCCTGATGTGTGATTTCACGCGGGCCTGCGGTCGGCTATCGGGATTTCTCCACGCCGCGGTCACCAACACGGCCTTCTTGGTCTTCTCGGCTTACCTTGCCCACACCAACACATCCTGCACGAGATCCCACACGAGTGCCTAGTGTGGCCAAGCATGCATGTCCTCGCTGGGTGGGGGGGACGGCGGTTGGGGATTGAAACCATGCCCGAGGTTGGGGACTGACGCCTTCAGCTGTGCCCTGTCGGGGATTACTTCTCCCTTGTCCTGCATCGCCTGGCACCTTTTTCTTGCGATGCCACCCGTGACCTGCCCCGACAAACCCCCCTGGTCACGTCACGTTTCGCGCTGGCGCCGTCTGGGAATGAGCCGCTCCTACACTCTCCCAGACGGCGCCGGCGCGAATCGTGGCATGACCGGCCCCCCCTCCCCTCCCCCCGGTCACGCCCGATATCGCCAGGGGGCTGTAAAGACGGGGTCTTGCTGCTCGGTGTGGAAGATCCTGGCGCCCCCGGCGCTCCGCGCCCGACGATGCCCAGGGATGCCGCTCTGTCCCCCGAGGCTGCCTTCTGAGTGCGGGCTCGCAAGAGCTGGCGTGTCCCTCTGCCCCCAGAGACGGCCTCGACGCGCGATCCTGGCCCAAGGCTATCTGCGGTTGCGACAGGCACAAACAACCATCAGGAATCCAACTGTGGCCACGCTTGTCCCGCCATGGGGCGTCAGGAACCCACGTGCTTTCACGCTGGTCCCGCTCTGGGGCGTTCGGAACCCAAGTGTTTTCACGCTTGTCCCGCTCTGGGGCGTTAGGAACCCAGGTGTTTCTACGCTTGTCCCGCTTTGGGGCTACCTTGTCGACGTTGCCATGATACCGCGCCCGCCCAAGTCGCCGACTCGCACTCAAGTGGCCGCTGGGAAATGCTCAAGCGGTCATCGCCACCGCGGCCGCGTCGGTCGCGCCAAACTAGCTGGCCACTTTGCGCGCGAGCATGCGCGCCAGCGCGGCCGCGGCGATGCGCCAGCCAGCGCCGAGCAGTCATCGCAATCGCGACCGCATGGGCAAACCACGTTGCAGGTGGGTGAGTGGGGTGATTGCGCGAGCAGTTCGGCATCACCACATAGATTGCCCCACATTGATTGCACGAACGTCCTGTTTTTACACAACAAACTGTTTGGCGTCAACGCTGAAGAACATAAAGTCTTACAGGCAGAGGTGGGTCCAGCTCTACTCGAATCCTACCAGGGTTCGATCCAGCTCTAACAGAATCCTGCTAGGGCTCCATCCAGCATTAACAGCATCCTATCTGGAATCGAGCAAGCGCTTTCAGAACCGTACTGGGGCTCGGCCCAGCTCACATGGAATCTTTTGGGGGGCTCGATCCAACTCTAACAGAGTCCTACCAGGACTGGATCCAGCACTGGTGAAATCATACTAAGGCTCGATCCAGCTCTGGTAGAATCATATTACAGTTGGGCCCAGCTCTAGTAGAATCATGTCAGGCATGGATCCACGCATGATGGAACTCGGAACAAGCTCGATCCGGCACGAATGCCAAATACATAAAGAGTTGGATACAGCTCTAATATAAACCGATTCGAGCTCGACGTCTCTTCAATGGAATCCTACTGGGGCTGGATGCAGCCCCAATACAATCCGAGTAAGGTTACATCCCGTTTTAATGGAATCCTACTCGGGCTCGATCTAGCTTTAACCGCATCCCACTGGGGCTCGATCGTCGTCGTCGTCGTAAGCGTCATTGTCGTCGATTTCCTCGTCGGCGTCGTTGTCGTCGTTGTCGTCGGCGGCGTCGGCGTCGGCGTCTGCGTCGTCGTCGTGGCCGAAGTGAGTCGTCGTCGTGCGTCGTCATCGTCGTCGTCGTTGCCGGTGTCGCTGTCGTTGTCGTCGTCGTCGTCGGCGTCGTTTGATGGCGGTGGCGACGTCGTCGTCGTTGCCGGAAGGAAAGGGAGGGGAGGGGGGCTCTGGACCCCTCGGACAATTTTCCCGGGGGGGAGGGGGGTGGTTGTGGACCCCCCCGGATAATTATCCCTGGAGGGGATCCGACCACCCCCTGGGTTTTTGGGGGGAGGAGGGCCTTGCTAGCAGCGGCAAAAAGCGCTCTTTCGAACGATTCGATGTGAGACAGCGCTCTCTTCTTGCTGAGACGGCAGCGGAGGTGAATACAAACGCGGTGCGCTGACGATACCGCCCTTCGGCGGCAACAAACACTTGAACCAAATAGACAGCGTGCACAGTGCCACGGACTGCTATATGCAAACACATCCTCCTCCTTCTCGGGCTCAACTGTGGGCGAACCACCCGCAGTCTCAGCCGTAACCTGCTCGGCGACGTCGTCCTCATCCTTCCTCCTGTTCACATGCCCTCGCAATGCTGAACGCATCATGCCCGCGAAAAATATGAAGGGGGGAACTGTGGTGAGGAAAAGTAGGTGAGCCTGGAACTAAATTCAGTCTTGAGAAAGTGCAACGTCATGACAACTGGCCGGCTGCTAGCGCGCAATATCACTTTATCATTAAATACGTGGTCCTTGTCCAATACTCTGCGGTGCCGTGGACTGAACGGGCGTACAACACACAGACACTCACACACACCACCACCTCCACCACCACCACCACCTCCACCACCTCCACCACCACCACCACCACCGCAACGGCACCATATCACACGTGCGCGCTCTGCTCGCCAACAGCCGGTGCGCGTGCGCGCACGTTGCCGGGGTTATCAGAGACAACTCTAAATCAGTGTCGTCAATGGCTGCGCAAGCCAAATCGGAGCCACTGCGCAATCAAGTCTGCATCATCCCACGGGTTGGCTGAGCAGGAGATGAAGTCGAATCGAAAACGCACCAAACGAGCGAACGCCGCCCAGAGCCATCGGAACAAAACATGATGGCCCGCGTGCGCGCCCCGAGTGCATGCAACAAGCCTGAGGCGCGCATCATTGCCAACTGATCAGCGCATGTCTAAACACGCGTCCTGGATGACCAGGCGGCACGCAGCAGAGCCCATGACTGCATGAGTCCAATCAGCGCCGAAGCGCAATCAACCCTACGTCATGCCGCACCTTGGCCAGCGAGAACAGCAGCCAGACGACAACACAACAAAAATTGACACCTGAAGCAACAGCCGAACAGTTGCCGAGACACCAGAGACAACTCTGAAAGGGCGTCCTCAGCGACAGCATGAATCAAATCAGACCCACTGCGCAATCAAGTCTGTATCATGTTATACCGTGGCCAGCGAGAATGGCAACCAGAAAGCACAAAAAAAATGTGACACCTGAAGCATACGCCGAACAGCTGCCGAGGCATCAGAGACAACTCTAAAAGCGCGTCCTCAATGACTGCATGAGTCAAATCAGAGCCACTGCGCAATCAATTCTGCATCATGTTGTACCTTGGCCAGCGAAAATGGCATCAAGAAAAACAAAAACAATGAGCGTGACTCCTTAAGCATAGCCCGAAC